GCCATGATAACATCATCCAGTTAATACTTTTTGTGGCTGGTATTAATCCATTTTGAGCTTCAGCATGAATAGCAGAAGTTACAAGCAATAGGCTTCATTCCTGTAAGAGTATTTAAAAACCATGTGCATACTAAGAAATTTTTGTGATAAGCTTTCCTTGGGAGGCTAGAAGAGGAAGGAATGTCACTCTAATGTGAAGGCCACTCCCTGTGGTTATTGTCAAAGCATAGACAAAACCAGTGATGTTTAATGAATTTTGTATTAACAGAGTGATGCAACAATGTACTGAAACCACAATACAGGCACAATATAGTAGTTGCAATATGCAGTTATATCACAATAGAAATGTGATTCCCATTACTGGATTGTATGTGCTTACTGTCATGTGACTGAAAGTGAATCAGATAATTATAGTTTTATGTTAAGCAATACTGAAATCCTGTAAGGAGCACTTATATTTCAGGCTAAACATAGCATTTGCACTAGAACATGGTGTTGTGTGAGATATTTATTTTTTGTAGCTGTAGCAGTGGCCTCAACTTTAAAGACAATATTTGTTGCTGTAGGAGTAATTACGATATCTAAAGTGCAGTGTTGTTATTCAGATGGAGATTAAACAACAGGAATAGATCAGCTGAAGACTGTAAAGATGGTTCTTTGAGGATTTGTCACTGTGTCTGTGTGTTATGCATGAGTGTGCAGTCTCTTGAACAGTGCTGTCAATTGAGGTGCAAATGTAAATTGAATTTCCTTGTCATGGTTAGCAGGTTCAACTCTTGTATTTTTCTTTTATTCTCTCTGACATTAAGATGTATTCTGTACTATAGTTGAGTTGAAGTTTCTGTATGAAAGAATATTGAGAATGTATTACTCGCTTTTGTCTTGATTAACTCTTAATTTGGAATGTAAGTTTCATGCTGAAAAGGTGAAAAAAGCAAATGCCACATCAGAGGTTACACAAGGGAATTCTGTTGCACACCTTTGCAGAGTTCTGTTCATGTATTTACTGTCAGTGAACTGTGAGGAAGTGTCAGGGACTTGGTCTGGGTTACAGCAGATGTGGAAGTCAAGATAGATTTCCTAGCTCCATTTCACGTGCTGGGTGAAGAAAATGTTCTTCATAGACATATATGATGTTTCATATCACTGCATTGGCTGACCTGAATCTTTCGAATTGCCTGTCTTGGGCCGTTTGTAGCTGCTCTTAGAGCAAGGTCAGGTTATCTCAATGAAGGTTTGACTGAATAATGACACATTGTAGAGTGTTTTTGGTTAGCAGTGTTGCATAAGTGATTATTCATCAAAACTTACTCTATCAGCACTGAGACAGCATTCTCAGGCTCTTTGAGAAAAATGCCAATATGTGAGACATAATGTTCATAGAGCTTCTTGAAACACTACATACTGATCTTAAAAAGTAAGTGTTTGATTTTTGGGGGGCAGTGTATGAGTCTCTTTCACTGTGGGAACAGATGCTTCCCCTACAGATTTTGCAGGTTTTGAGTACTGGGATTTGGCAGTGATACACAATTGAACTGCTTATGACAGGGGAGTTTCTGAGATCTTTCAGTCAGTATGGACACCACAAATAGTTCTCTATTCTTAGTCTGAGAATCCTCAGTTAAGGTGGATTTTGAACGGAGCCAACTGGATGCCGCAGTTGCCTTATGTCCTTCTAACAGACACATCTGATCAAAGAAACACTGAGCTCACCCGAGACACCTGAATGTCTGCCCTGAAACCTCATGCATCAGTGGGAGTGGGGAAAGTAAATTTGTTTTTGGCTAAGTCACTGATTGCTCTTCAGCTCAGTAGTAAGTAGTGAAAGGAGTCAGTAAAAAGAATAAGAGGAAGTGAGAAGTACTGGATAAACGGAAAAAAAGGTAAATCCAAAAATTCCTCAAGTTTTCTAACGTTTTTTTGGACATAAGTAAGACTAGTAGTATCAAATGACAAGTGAAGAAAGGCTATGAACTGTACCAAGGCAGCAGTGTTTGTTACATCAGGTTATTATATACTCTATGCTTTCTCTCAAGCAGTGGGAGAGTTGTGAGTTTTTTGCTTGTTTGTTTGTTTTCATTGCCTGTTATGGATAACCAGATTCTCAGTTTTTATTCATGGTGCATAAGTTCTTTGACTATGTGGAAACCAGGAAACTCCACTTATACTGCTAGAGAAGCTAATCTGGAAATTCTTACTTGCGCTGATATTGTTGCATCTTGGAAAAAGCACACGAAGTGCAACTACCCAGGTTCTACTGATGTACAATATTTATAGAGAAGATTCCATGTTCTACCTGGTGAGCAAGTTTAAGACAGCATTGTTGTCATATTCTGTCATGTTCTCTGTTTTTTCTTTTTTTAGTAGCAGTTTCTATTTGAATTGATTATTTCAGTGGATAGGTTAGTGAATTGATTATTTCAGTGAATGGGTTCGTGAATGTCGATTATAAGGAGATAAATTAATATATCTGAAGCCCTTGAAAGATGATAATTTATGCTCAAGCTTGCTTAGGAAATTCCTGAGGAGAACTGAAATTCACTAGCCATACACAGTGATAAAAGAGGATCAAACAAAGCTTGTAATCCTTAAGAACATCTATTTTGTCTACTCCTAATTTTGTATCCCATTAGTGTAGCATTCCTTTAAAAAGTACTGGGTTAGGCATTCTCCCTCTGAAAGGAGGAGGGATATTTTTCCTTTCCTGTCTTTACTTCTAGGCTTCTAGATGGAGCAGAGTGAGGGGTTGCCTGGTGGATGATCGTATTGGAGAGCTTGTGTAGTTCATGCAGAGACAAGAGACTTCAGTAAGGAGCATTGAGAAGACAGTCATACCTCAGAGGAGATAGAAGGCAGAATCAGAGATGATAAAAATTGAGGCAAATGAGAGTTTGCTTCTAGTCAATAGCTAACTGGAATAGTTGTTCTAAACATAAAGGAGAAAATAAATTTGCTAAAATACTATTAAATTTTTTTGAGGTTGTGACAGATACAGTCTGGTACATATGTGTATGACAGTTTGTCCCTGGCTTCATTTGGAATGAGGTTTGAAAATAAATGCAAAACTCTTGAAAGCAACAAAATGCTGCTAAATGCCAGCTGTCTCCTGCATTCTTTTCAGCTTGGGTTGGGAAAGGATTTGTAAAGATCACACAACAGGGATCTGAAATTATGGGGTTTATATGCAATTAAGATATAAATATTGTTCTCATCAAAGACAGATCCAATATAGTGGTGAACTCAGCAATGTACTGTAGGCAGTGGAAAGCCAGAACACTATGTGAGGGAACTAGAGTTATCATCCAGGACTGGAAATTCCAGGATAGATTTTTTTGAATAAAGGAGAGCATAAGAGGCTAAGGTGAAAGGTGGAGGCTTCAACTGTTGTGAGGGAATGATTCAGCGGAGATAAGGATGTCAGTTGGAAGAAGTGGATAATAGATAAGGAAAATGTTGCAAACCTACACAACAAATTTTGTGTGCCTCTTTATTTTCTTCATAAAGCACAATCAAGCTCTGCAAGTTCACAAATATAATGAAAATATTAAAATAATGGCAGCATAAGCAACTGAAAGAAAATAATGTGAAAAGAAGAGTTTAAAAAAAGTCAGTAATGCTAAATCATGAGACTTCTGTAAGGAAAAATTTAAATAGATAGAAATGGAACTAGAGGAATAGATTTCAGAGCTATTTGTTTTACAATTCTTTAAAATTGCAAGCAATAGGAAAAAAGTGATTGGACAGAATATTTTTTACTAAAAACTTTGTTAAGCTTTTCATTGAAAAACAAGTAATTAAAAAAACTTATAAAATGTAATGCTGGTATTTTATGTGTTCATCTTTTCCTTCTGTTCAGCTATTTCTTCACTGGTATTCTTTTGAAGCTAAGTTATCCACCATAGAACACTGATGAATATTGACAGCTTTTTTTTCAACTGGGAAAATCCTTCTGCCTGGATTATTGGCAAATATTTATTGAATTGATATCAGTTCTATTGAGAAACTATAAAAATGGATTAAAATTCACATACAGGATATATTAATTCATTTATTTGTAATACATTTGGCTTGCTTGTAGATAAATATTTTAGTCAATATTTTACTCAACAATGATAAAAATGTTGTCAGCTTTATAGTGGTTTTGTAGCAATGTGTGACAATTTATCATAGGAGACCCATAAAACTGCTGCATTTTCATAAAGTGAAGGTAGCAGTCGTGGGCTGAAGGAATGTGATGAATCAGCTTAATGTTCTTCATTAAACATTCTTCTTTTGTTGGAATTTTATTCTTCTGAACCAAACAGTTTTTTCTTAAATACATAATTGAAAGGGGACTGTATGCTACAGACCTTTTTTTTTTATCTGAAAGTTTTATTCAAAACTTTTCATATTTTCCTTTCCACATTCACATTATGGTTATTCTAATTGACACCTACATGTCTTCTTATCAATTGTAAAAATTTAATAGGCACTGTCCTGCCTATTAAATGCATATCCTGCTAATTTTTAGACCTGATTGTTCCCCAGTACTCCCTGGCTATTAAGTTTATGTCTTTTTTCCCTTTGGAAAGTGAGTATTATCCTCCATAAAGAGTTGTGAGGTGCCATTCTGTGTGAATGGAGTGATTTGTGTGGTGCTGCTTTGGCAGGAGTGCAACATGTTCCATCCATAAGGAATTTAAGGCGGAGTGCATGGAGGGATAGGGGATAGAGGTTGGAGTGATTGTGTGGCAGGAGGGTGAGATGTAATGTGGATATGAATACAAATTGTAAACAGTAGAGCTAATGGCATACTTTCTTATGCTGTATGTGGAGCAGTCAGCTCATGACAGATGTGTCAAAGCATCTAATTTTGCACTTGTCCTGACACAACGTTCTCTTAGGCTTCTGCACCTGTATTGCTACACAGACTTTGTGTAATGCTGTTTGATCTTTGTTAGCACACATGACAGAATCATTGTTTATCTTCATTCCATGATCAATTGTTTGTTTTCTTTAAGAACTACCTGAGATTACCTTAATTGAAGAGAAATTTCAAGAGACAGAGGCATGGGCCAGGCCTCTGGTCTACCTGTGGCAGACAAGAGTACCCAATTTCAATGCTGAAAAAGAATACAATGCAGCTTGTTCAAAAAAGGAACCTCATTGTGCCATTTGTACTCTTCTCATGCCGTACTATAAGGTAAGCCAAGATTCTTGCAGCTCTTTCTCTGGGTGAAGCGTGAAATGGCTGCCTGGCTACTCAGTTTCCTGTAAATTATAAACCAGATAAGCTTATGCATTTCACTTGTAAGAGAGGTAAATAAAATTAGAACTGATACTCTATGCCACTGCATCTCCCCTTGTTTGCAGACAGTGCATACCTTTACTACCGTTTATGCGAGACAGGCGTTACTCTGTGTGTGTGCTTTCTCTTGAAATTTCAGGTTTTGAGGTGGTGAACTCTAATAGGTTTGTATCTTTTAGCTATTTCCTTATATGCCCATCTTCAAATACTTTTTATCAGAGCCTCTTTTATGGTGCCTTCCTTCAGTGCTGAAGAAGTGTTTTCACAGTACTTAGGCCTTTCAGGAAAAGAATTGCCACAGAAACAGTCTAATGCAGAGCACTGTTTGATACTGGTTTGTGGAATTACTGTGTCAAATGTCAACTAAAAATGCTGTTGTAGTACTTACTACTAATTCTGAAGCTGCTAAGCTGGAATTTCCTCAGCGTGGGACCCAGGAAAAAAACACCTATTGCACTGAACTGGGTTAAAGGACTCAAGAAATACAATATCATTGAACACCACTGCAATAACAGTAGTTTGCAGTCTAAATTCTATTCTAGAGTTCACAGTTATTTTGAACAATCAAGGTAGAATGGCTGTGATAAATACCTAGAAGCAGTTAATTTTCTCATGAAACTGTTATACTGTTGGTGCAAATATTGGGAGGGGAGGAGTAGTTTCATCATAGTCAAAAGGAACAGTAAGACTCTCCTTTCTTTTACTTAAATATAAATTTTGTTTATTTTCCAGCCAGACAATCATGATGAAGAGGGTCCTACTTTCAGGGAAGCAAACTCAGCAGAAACACTGATGGCAGAAAATGAAAAGACTAAACCTCTTATTCCAGAGATGTGTTTTATTTATAGTGAAGAAAACACTGAAAACTATCCATCAAATGCCTTTATTGAAGAAGATGGAACAAGTCTTCTGATTTCCTGTGCAAAATGTTGCATACGGGTTCATGCAAGTAAATAATCTAATTGTTCTCTTGGCAGAAAAGTAATTTTAGATTTTCTTGTATTGATAAATAGTAGTTATCTAGGCTTCTAGTACATAAAAGTACTTGGTGAACATTTCCATATGTAATGCTTCAATCACTGTCTTTTTTTTGGAAAAATACATTAGATTTTCTGTTACTTTTTAATGGTTGCTGTGAAAATGTTGAAGAATTAACTTTCCTGGAAACTTTCAATAATCACAAACTTCTGATTCTTGTTTCTATTCTGAACAATTACATTACTCTTTTACTTTTCATATTTTAAACCACTGTGTGATGTTAGTATGCCTTTACTAAGTAGTCAGGGTAGAATTCTGCTGGAGGACTTGAGAATATTCCTATTAACTTCAGTAATTTCCTTCACCTTGCATTCTTTCTTATTGCAAGAGTTACTGATGAATGCATGGACTTACTACAGTAACTTCTAAAGGCAGTAGAACTTGAATAGGTAACTTTAAGAAGTCCGTGTGGTATTCAGGAATGTGGTATAATAATAATAATAATGGCCAGTCTTCGTGAGCGAAGATCCGGGGAAGGTCTTTACACCTTCCAGCCTGCGCATTGGATTTTTTAGGTGAGACAGAGTGTGCGCGGAACTGAGCCCACCCTTTAATCCTAAGGTTCATCTGCCGGGGCCAAGTGAGCTTGGACGGTGGCAGTGAGGTCCTTAGGACGTAGATGGGTTGCCTTTAAGGGCTAACGAGCCCCACCTGCCCAGGAGTGGCCCTGACCGGGAATCGAACCCGGGTCTCGGCGGTGATAGCGCCGCGCCTTTACCACTAGACCACCAGGGGCTCCTGTGGTATAATTACATAGATGTTAATATATTAAGTCAGATTTTTACTGCAGGGAGAATTCACAGTTTGCTGTTGTACTGACTGAACTAAGAAATACCTTGTGATTTGGGGTTTTGGGTGTTTGGGGATTTTGTTTTTGTTTTGCATTTTGGTTTGGCTTTGTGTTTGGTTTTTTGTTTTTTGTTTTTTGTTGGGTTTTTTTGGTGAGGATTTTTATTTGTTTTGTTTTGTTCTGTTTTTGGTTTGGGTTTGGTTTTTTGGGGGTTTTTTTTTGAGTTTTGGGATGATGTGTTTCATAGACTATGGAATTAGCAGACAACCTTGATTGGAAAAGTCTCCTTTGACCCAGGACATGTTTTCCACTATTGTTTATATAGTTTATATAAGTTTATAGTTTTAGACAGTTTATATAGTTTTATACAGTTTAATTGTATGATGTTATTAAGAGAAAGACAGAATATAATAATCAATACAGCTCTCTTGTTCTAGGTTGCTATGGTGTTCCTTCTCAAGAAATTCATAATGAATGGTTGTGTTCTCGATGCAGAAAAAAAGCCTGGACAGCAGTAAGTTTCACATGTTGCTTAGCTATCTAAAACATTAGAGATTAAGGGGAGGGAAAAAAATAGCACGTGTTATTTCATGTAGAATGCAGCCTGCATATTTTTTTCTGAACACTCCTGCTGGGGGAAAAATTATTTGTAAAATATGATTTGATTTCAATGTAAAATGTAATAGCATTTTGATAGACAAACTTGGTATAGTTTTGTACACTCATGAAAAAGATTGCCTAACAGAATATAGTTATGTGAAAAATGTTGTTCAAGGAAAGAACTGAAAATTAAGATGCGCATAAGAGAGAGAAAAAATGAGATTTATCCTAAATAGGTATAATCCAATTTTCATCTTTCATTGATTACCTGAGTACCTTGTTACAGCTTCTTTATCAGACAGTCATAAGTTTCAGGATCTTCTGCAACATGTTTGTGACTAATGTTCTAGAGTAAGGGGAAAGTTGACGGGAAAAGCACAACTCTGTTCTAGCATGTGACAGGTTGCTATGAGCTCAGAATTTTATTTTCAGTTAAACCAACAGGTCAGAAAGCCCCGCTACTCTATCAAAAAGTTTTATTAATTTCTTTTCGAGGAAGATACAGCTAAGATGTGCAAGCATGGGAGTTCTAAGGACAACCATTCTAATCCATGAAATACCACGTATGACAGCAATAGGACTGAATGTGTTAAAAAACACTGAAAAATGTAGTATGATGCCTTGGAACCTGATGTTAACTTAATATATAATGAAAATGCATTTGAGGGGAAATTTGGAGAGACTTTTTGTCTTTTAACTATAGTACGTTTTTTTAAAAGCAGAAATCACTAAAAAAAAAGTAACCCAAAATTCAGTCTTATAATTTGTTAATGCTGTGTTGTAGAAAGGATTCTAAAATTGTTCTGGAGATTGAGAATATTTTCCAAATATTCTTGGAGTGAAAAGGATGTTTAGATAGCAGTGGTAAGTGAAAGATAAGAACAGTAATGAGGTGACTGACTTGGCTCACAGTCACTGTGGGTCAATAGTAGAGGAACTTGATAATTTGATATAAAAAGAAAAAATGTTGGGGAGAAGATTAGAGCTTAACTGGAGTTTTTCTTTGGCAAACTTTTTTTCGGAAAATTAACATCCATGGAAAACATTAATTTGAGAAGAATTATTCACATTTTACTAAATATGCTTAGTTCTTTTATGATGCATACAAACTTCTGAAAATAAGAAAGATCTGAATTTTAGGGAAAGTAATTTTAGGCAAATCATTTGAGGAGATGAGATGAAGCAGTAAAAAGATATCAAAACCATACAGAAAATAGCTGAGTGGAAATTTTGTGTGATGAGGTTTTAGAATTGGATTTTTACAAAAGCACACTCTAGGAACTGGAGAGAAGGCCCAGTGTATTCCTGTAATTTTATATCTTAGGTAAAAAGAATGTAATAGTGCTGAAATGGTGCACCGTTATCACTGTGCAAAGACTAGACAGTGTATGTTGGCAACTTGGACAATTTATTTTATATAAGCTTTTATATATATATAAACCTATTATATATTCAACTGTATTGCTGTAATTTTATGTATGTATTGATTACAGGTGAATCATTAGTGCTGACAACTTCATCTTTCTGTAGCTCTGTTTTGGTAATATGAGTGAAATAAACTTGTAACCTAAGAGAGCTCTTCACACCGACATGTTTATAGAATAAAGTTCCATTCTTAATGCCTTTAGTAATTTTTAAGTTGGAAAGTTTTAATGAAATATCTGAGATTGAATATACCTTGCTAGTATTACGTTTACTTGCAAACTTGTCCTCCAATCTGCTGTCTTGTAGTCTTTGTTATTACATGCCATTCACATGTAAATGTGAACGGTTCCTTTTCACCTGAAAGACGCAGCAGTGATAGATAGCAGGGATGTGTTATCTGAGTTAAATAGCAGAAATCCAGCTGTTTCAAGGATGTGAATAATGCTTTGTTATATACTCATACATAAATGATACCCAATTCACTTTTTCTTTTTTCGTAACAGTGTCTTTCAAAAGTCTTGAGATGCTGAAGCAATCTTAGAGCTATGTAGTGATTGCTAGAGTTTGCAGAGCTTAGGTGAGGTGACATCAGCTTCCTAAAAGGGCAAGAAATGGATGACCCGACGAAGTAGGCAGCAGTAAGCCCATCAGGGATACAAGGAAAAGTACTGATGGATCTATCAATTTCTAAAAACCTAGACAGAAAACAAAGAGATATGTATTTAAGACAGATCCTGGGAATGAGGACGATGCAAAAGATTTCATGTGTCCTAACTTCCAGATGCTTTTGATAGTGTTTTAAATTCAGATATAGCACTAACAGAAGACTTACAGTGGAAATCAATAATTGCCAAACATATAGCAATATGGATTGACTTTCAACTTTTATTATCTCAGACCACTAGCCATCATTCTTGTCAGACTCTTAAAATCATTGAGAGAATGATAAAGATTTGGGCATTGTTTGCTGATTACTTTTCATGCCCTTAAGATATGTAGAAATCTAGACTGGTCTTCTTTAAGTAAGATGTTCAAGATGATTGCAAAGGAGCTGGAGGAGTATACTTCCTGTGAAGATACCAAAGTGTTAAATTATATTGAAGAAATGGTGTAAAATAAATCATACAGAATTCAACAGACTTAGGAGTTGTCAGCTATGCACACATAAGATGGGAGTCTCTATCTTAGCAGTAGCTCCGGTTGCCAACTGCAGTTGTGACCACTGGTCACAAACTGAACGTAAGTCATTAGTTCTACAGAACCTGAAACATCACATGAGGATGTTTAAGCGTTGTAATAGAAGCAAAGTCTGAAAAAAACCACTATGAAACAATCTTCCTGCTCTCTTCAGTTTTAGTGAGAGCACAGCTCAAGAACTGCATCTCATAGTGAACATAAAGGACTGCAACTGAAAATAAACCAAAATTCTTTTAATCATCCCTAATAGATCTCAATCATGCTGTAAGGGAGGGTTGAAAAGATTTAACCTTCTTAGTATAGCCAGGGGAAGGCAGAAAGAAAAAAAAGTTGCATTCTGGCCTATAGAATTATGTGTGTACGACTAAGAGTAACACAATCAATTGCCATTCTCTCATGTTAGGGACCAGATGACCTGCAGAGGCTTTGAGTTGCATCAGCTGAAGTTAATAGCGGACATTTTAAGAATTTTTATTTCTAAAAGTAGTGCACCATAAGAATAGGATATAGAGAGCTTTTATAGAAGCTACTCCTTCACAATCTTTAAAAACTTGCTAGATAAACATTTTTTCAGGAATAGTTGAAGAAGATTTACTTATGCCTTGGGGCAGAAGGGTAAACTAGACAGTCAACTTTTTTTTTCTATAGTTCTCTTTTGCTTGTTTGAACAGTGTAATTGCAAAACGTTGTGATTGTAGTTGTCTTTGGAAAAAAAATATCAGTTTGGTATGCAACCTAAATATATTAATATATTTTTGCTTGTGAGGAATCTTATTCCTGACATCAGTATGATTAGAATTGCTGATACTTATTTGGTCCTATTTGTCATTTTAGGATAATATTGCTGTGCTTCAGAGTTTGGACAATAAGCCTAGATTATCCTAACAGCTTTCACTTCAAAATAGTACAATACTTTTATGTAGTCTTGGCATTATACTTAAGATAGTGTGGTTCTTTTTTAACCAATCTTTTGTACATCTGTTATAAAGGACAACTGAATCAAATATATTATCCAGAGTACTATTTTCCCTTTTGAAAATCTTCAGTTTATCAGGTGGTACCAACCTGATAGCTTTATTTATTTATAATTTGAATTAAACGGATATGTTTATTTTCTGAATAAATTTTTAAACTTTTATGAATTTTTTATATAATCGTAGAATACCAGGTTGGAAGGGGACCTCAAGAGTCATCTGCTCTAATCCTTTTTGGCAAAAGCACAGTCTAGACAAGACAGCCCAACACCCTGTCCAGCTGAATTTTAAGTGTCCAATGTAGGGAACTCACCACTTCCCTGGGGAGATTAGTCCAATGGCTGATAGTGTGAAATTTTTTCCTTTTGTATCTAATCAGATTGTCTCCAGGAGAAACTAGTACCCATTACCAATCATCTTTTCCATGTGACTCCTTGTAAGAAAGGTAGTCTCCATGTTCTTTGTAGCCACCCTTTAAATACTGGAACCTGATGATAAAGTCTCCAAAGCCTTCTTTTCTCATGGCTGAACAAACCCAGTTCTCTCAGCTTTTCCTCACTCGACAGGCTTCCCAGTCCTCTGATCATCTTTATGGCCCTTCTCTGGACCTCTCCAACCTGACCACATCTTTTTTGTATAGTGTGGACCCAAACTCAACACAGAATGAGTTTGCTATATTTCTTGTTATACATATGTTATTTTAATTGCATTTTAAATTACTGTGTAGTACCATAAGTCTCTCTGGAGAGGGAGGTGAAATTAAAGAAAATGACTTATTTGCATGTCTTTTTTTTTTTTTTTTTTTACTGTAGGGAATATAGAGTATTTTACATTCCAACTGACACATTTCAAACTTCAAGTTTCTATATGAAACAAATAAAATAAAATCACATTCATCTTAATTTTTGTTCAGGATAAGCTAGCTAAAAAAATGCAGCTGTTGCAGAAGATCTGAAACAGATTTGGCTCTGACTCCCTGTGGGAATTATGTATATACTTGCCTTCCAACGTTCAATTTTTGTATCAGAAAAGTGAACAAAATGAGAAGATTTAATTATGAGGAAATACTTATTCCCTGAAAATTCAACTTCCTGCATGCCTGGGTGCAATTTGTTGCATGCAAATTGTTTTCCCTCCTCTTTACATTGATTCCTAGATGGAGGAGATTTAGCAGAAGACGACCTGTCTGAGTAATTCTCTTCTGGATAAGATATTAAATCCTGAAGGAAAGGTCAATTAGGAAACAAGGAAAAAGAAAATTTTATGCAATGAAAATATAATGGAAGTTAGGAAACATTGGTTCAACCTTGTTTCGAAG